TTTTGGTGTGTTCGGTGTTTACATAGTCATAGCACAAACTATTCTGTGGCTCTTGAAAAATCAGTCAAAATGCTCAAAAAACTCTGGCAGTATGGGACTCTGTTCTGAAAATGGCTGGCAGTCAATGAGTTAACAATACTTTCTCCAGAGGCACAGGAGAAGTTATTACCCTGCTTTAATATGGGGTTGTATTTGACTATTTCTATGTGTAAATTCTGCAATATAACAGATCAGATGTAGAAAATAACAGAAACTATGCTCCTTTGGGGAAAACTAAAGTGGGCTTTTATGTCTTAAGAGCAGACCATATTGTTCTCGATAGCCAGAAGGCAACCCGTAGCAGCTTGTAGCTCCCAGCAACAGGAGGCACTCTGAGGGATGTGGGCTAAAATCTGACCTGAGAACAGAGTCAATTTTTAATGTTCACCAAAAGGCCGTCCGGCCTACACAGAATAGCCGATTCTGTGAGTATAACCACAGTTAAGTCAGTTTTTCCAACTGCTGTCAGGGGGAAATGACAGCTTGTTTGAGGCTAATAACTGAGAGGATGTAAAGCATCCTAAAGTTATTATAGTCCAGTATTTAGAGGTAAAAACGCAGCCTAGCATGCCTTTAAAGACAAGAAAAGAAGATTATTTTTCGCACTTTTGATTGTCTTTGATGATTAAGCTTCACTTTTACCTCAGAGTTGATGGTTGAAATTATTCTGATCATCACATTGTATGATTATCATTAAATCAGATTCACTATTTGGAGGATTTGGGATGTAAACATCTAAGAGTTACTGATTCTGTCCGGGGACAGTTATCACAACAATACTTACAAGGGCACCAGTTTGACTCCTCAATGATTAAATATTGATTAACCTCTGGATATGTCAGGAGACATGTCCAACTTTTAAAACCCAATTCCATCAAAGCAACTTTTTCTTTTTCTTTTAAATCAATAAATGGCAAGAATTTGGGAGGAAAGGGGTCTTAAATCTGTTTGGGTCAAGTCTCTGACTTATGGAAACACTTTTTCTAAAAACAGCTTCCACTTATTAAATCAAATGTAGATATTTGATTCGGTAATGTGTATTATTGTCGTTCAAATATTCTTTAAATCTTCATTATTTCACTTGTTGCCATCCTGTAAACAAACAGTAATCAAAACACAAACCAACAGCTCACAATACAGGGAAGATGCCCAAACCCCGTCTATGTCTGCCTTTGTGTTGGACTAAATTTTGGGAGGATTTTATGACTCTAAATGATCATTACTTTCTGTTTTCACCCTGTCTCTCGGCTAACGCTGTGCTCGTGTTTAATCAGGGCTCCAATCAGCCGAGAAACAAGGTTAATCAGCGGGGTGGGATCCAGGTAGTTACATGCTAAACAGCCTCCGCTAACAAAGAAAAGCAACGTGAGCCTGAATGACCTCCAAATATCCAGAATTTGTAACAACTAAAGAGGTAAATTTGGGAGTTTTAGACAGGTTTGACCTGCTGACTCTGATCTGTGATTCGTCAAGTTCTGAAATCCTCCTAAAAATGTCCTGCAAACTGCAACCAAATCTTTTAGGAAATGTTACAACTCCAAAGAAAGACGTTGTCTCATTCGTTTCAGCCATAACCCCAAACACAAGGCAAAGCATCCCAGGTTTTTCCAGTATGGCCACCCAGTCCATCAGCTTTGTAACCCTTTAAAGCCTGATCCAAGAAAAATAGGAAGAATATTGGATTCTTTTAGTCTGGAGTCTTTCTTTGGCCCCTCAACAACATATGAAGAAAAAAAAACAGAAATTATTTTGATCCAATTAGCGTGCAATAAGTCAAAAATATATGTTGGTGTAGTCTTCTACTGGCTGTTATCAGGTATATCTGAATGTGTACAACAGGGGTTTGAGCAAAGCTTTTACCACTGAATGATGCAGAAAGTCTCAGATCCAAAAGACTTCAGAAACCGGATCTATCAAATATGACACATTTGGCATTATAGAGGTAGGATGATCTAAAACTACTCAAATAAATCACTTTACTGTCATTTAGACGGCTGATATATGTAAGCAGGGCTATAATTGGGGGGGTATGAAAGGTAGTCATGCAGTAAACAGGTCAACAGCCGTGGGCCATGAGGAATGGGCTGGTGGAGTTTGCGCATCACCTACGGGACACCGTAGTTACTGCCAGCAGGATTTGGCGTCTAACGAGCACCAACAAGTTCACCTCTGCGCGCGCGCACGCGGCGCTGCACGTGGGGGAAGTTTAACCATATAGAAATACGCTATCCAAATTACTATAGCTGGACGGGATGAATCCGCAATTTATTAAGTATTCCACACAAAACACCGAGAAAAACCGCGCTTACCTTTTGGCAAAATGACCAAAGTATGAGAGAATAAATATTCCAGGTGCGTCTTCCTCTTTGCTTTCTGGGATCTTGACCAAAAAAAAGGCAGTGAAAGACAGAGTGTGTGTGTTGAAGTGTGTGTAACTCACCTTGGCAGCAGACCGTCGCCCACAGGTAAACTCCCACCAGCACGCGCCCGCTCCGCTCCATGGCAACCCGGAGTCCCCTTCAGGGTCCTCAAAGATGCCAAAGTTAAGGAGAAAAGAGCTCCGTCAGACTACCGGTGCTCCGTGTCTCTCTCTCTCTCTGTTTCTCTCTAACTCTCTCTATCTCTCTCTGTTTCTCTCTCTTCTCTCTCTTTCTCTCCTATCTCTCT